ATGGGAGGCTGGGGTCAGCTCGGGCAGGACCCTGCCACACCGGGCGCCCTGCCCGCCCACCGCAGAGGGGCGGGATCGGAACTCACTTCTTGTTGGGTTTTCCACCATGGGGTTCCCCTCGCCAGGGCGCTCAATCTTGAAAACCTCGTCCACAAAGATGATCCGACAGTCGTTGAGAGAATCGTCCCTGCGAGAGACGGACCATTAGGACATCCCACAGGGCCGGCCCTGCAGAAGCGCCCGAGAAGACTTCGCCACGTCAACACAGTTCCCAGAGCCTGTGAACAGCTCCGCCTCTAATTGCATCAGAGAAGAGGCTTTTGCAGGGCACTGTGAACTCAATTAGCTACTCCCCTTGCAAATTCAAGTCCTACCAAATCAGGAACAAGGTGAAAACAACAGACAAACCAGTTTCATCACACGATGCATTTGAGAGAATCATTTCTAACTTGCGGGTAGACAAGGCCCATTTAACAAGGCCCAACAGGCAAAAGCAATAAAGTAAGGTCTGATCAAAATACAAAAACTCCTCTAAGTTAAAACAACCCCAGGGATCATCTCACCACCTCCATCAGATCATCCCACCACCTACATCATCGGCAACCATCTAAGGAAAGCAAATGCAAGTCAGGTGTACAATTTCACACTGTCTGAGAACCACGTTCAAGAAGTAAAAGCAGATGGAATCAATTTGAGGATGTTTTATGTAACCCAATGTTATACAAAATATCATTTCAACATGTAATGATCATTAAGGAATTATTAACAAGCTAGTTTGCATTCTTTTTCAGCACTAAATCTTTGAAATCCATTGTGCATTTTACACTCACGACGTATCGTAATGTGCCCTGGCCACATTTCAAGGGCTAGGCAGCATGTGTGGCTCGTGGCTGTGAAGCTAGATGGGAAGGTCCAGATCTACCCACCAGTTCACAGGAAACACAGGGACAGAAGAATAGAGGAAATGACACCGTGAGGATGCCGGTGGGAAATCCAGACTGTGCAGATTCTGTGGGACAAACAACCAGGCTTCCCCAACAAATAAATTAGTCTGCCTGCCAATGCAGGGGACAGGGGTTTGAGCCCCGGTCCTGGAGGATCCCACATGCCGCAGAGCAACTAAGCCCCTGCGCCACAACTACTGAGCTTGCGCTCTAGAGCCCGCGAGCCACAACTACTGAGGCCCGCATGCCTAGAGCCCGTGCTCTGCAACAAGAGAGGCCACCACGGTGAGAAGCCCGTGCTCGCCACGACCAGAGAAAAGCCCGCACGCTGCGGTGAAGACCCAACGCAGTCAAAATTAAAATAAATAATTTTTTTTTTAAAAAGAGAGAGATACCTGCCAACCTAACTGAAATCTGTGGACGTTACTTAGATCTTAAACAAATAATTTTAAAAAAGAGTGAGCTAATTGAAAGACTGAACAATGACTGGTTATATGTTAAGAAATTAGTTAATTTTTATGTTGTAATAATAGCATTAAAACTATGTCCCTTTTTTTCTATGTCCCTTTGAAAGAGTCATTTTGAAGAAATATACTTGAAAATATTAACAGATACAATGAGTCAATGCTTGGGAGTTACTTCAATGTAACGGTAGTGGTCATAATCTCAGATGAAGGAAAATTAAAAGAATTCATTGCTAGTCAACACACCTTTACAGAATAATGAAGGAAGTTCTTCAAATAGATAGGAAATTAAAAAGGAAAGCATCTCGGAGGAAAAGGAAGGAAGAAAGAATAGAAAGAGCAGAAATATGGGTCCATACAATAAATTATGCGGGGCTTCCCTGGTGGTGAAGTGGCTGGGAGTCCGCCTGCCGATGCAGGGGACACGGGTTCGTGCCCTGGTCCGGGAAGATCCCACGTGCCGCGGAGCGGCTGGGCCCGTGAGCCATGGCCGCTGAGCCTGCGCGTCCGGAGCCTGTGCTCCTCAACGGGAGAGGCCACAACAGTGAGAGGCCCGCGTACCACAAAAAGAAAAACAAAAACATAAAAAAATAAAATAAAATAAATTATGCTCCTTTCGGGTTTTCTAAATCATATATGATGATTGAAATAAAAACCATAACACCATCTGATGCTCAAGACAGTGACTATAAAGGAATGTGAATGGAAGAAAGATTTCCACACTTCCCTCAAAGTGGGAAAAGAGATACCAGTATGTCACATGTTTATATGATAAAATCCAGAGAAACCACTGAGAAAACCGTATAAAGCAATACACTCCAAAAGACCATCAATAAATCAAGATAGAATCCTAAAAAACGCTTACATAACCCACAGGAAGGACAGAAAAAGAGCAACAGGAAAAAGAAAGAGAAAACAAATAGAAAACAAATAACAAAATGGCAGGCTCAAGCCCTAACATACTAATCATTACCTTAAATGTAAATGGTCTAAATACAACTGACCCTTGACCAACATGAATTTAAACTGCACGAATCCAGTTATAGGCGGATTTTTTTCAATAGTAAATATGGCAGTACCACACAATCCCCAGTTGGTTGAATCCTCAGATGCAGAACCACGGATACAATGGAACCGCAGAGATGGAAGGCAGACTGTAAGTTAATGCTCAGATTCTTATTAACTGCACAGGGGTCAGCATCTGTAACCCCCGAGTTGTTCAAGGGTCAATAATGTATGCCAAGTGGGACTTCCCTGGTGGTCCAGTAGTTAAGACTCCGGCTTCCACTGCAGGGGGCACAGGTTCGATCCCTGGTCAGGGAACTAGATCCCACATGCATGCCACAACTAAGAGTCCACACGCCGCAACTAAGAAGTCCGCATGCCACAACTAAGACCCAGCGCAGCCAAAATAAATAAATGTTTAAAAATAAACAAATAAATGCTTATATCAGACCTACAATAATCTAAGTTGCTACCTCAAAAAAAAAAAAAAAAAAAAAACTAGAAAAAGAAAAGCAAAATCAACCCAAAGAAAGGAGAAGGGAGAAAATTACAAAGATGAGACCAGGGAATTCCCTGGTGGGGCGGTCCGGTCCAGTCCAGTGGTTAGGACTCCTACTTGCACTGCAGGGGGCATGGGTTCGATCCCTGGTCAGGAAGCTAAGATCCCACATGCTGCAGCCATAACTAACTAACTAACTACATAAATAAAAATATTAAAAAAAAAAGAGAGAGAGCAGAAATCAAAGAAATGGAAAACAAGAAAACATAAAAAAGAAACCAAATAAAAAGCAGGTTACTTTTTAACAATCACATCACTGTACCAGGGCCCAACCCTGGGCCCTTGCCCCTCAACACCCCCATCAGCCTACTCCCTGGTCTCCCTGCGGCTATGCTGCCCCCTACAGTCCATTCCCAGCTCGGCTGCCCGAGTGATGATTCCTAATCATAGGGTCGAAAGGAAGCCAGTGGCTCCAGTGCTCTCAGCTCTGATGGCTGCCAGCAACAGAGAATACACACCAGTTCTGCACCACTCCCGGCCATACCCTGAATGCTTCCTTCCTCCCTCTCTCCCTCCACTCCAGCCCACTGGCCTCCTCGCAAGGCCACAAATGCACCAGGAATGGTCCTGCCCCAGGGCCTTTGCACTTGCTGTGCCTATGCTCAGGACACTGTTGCCCCGATAATCATGTCTATATACAATACGTACAATGGAGTATTACTCAGCCACCAAAAAAGACATTCATCATGAAACATGGATGAACCTTGAGAACATTATACTCGCTGAAAAAAGCCAGACACAAAAGGACAAATCCTGTGTGGTCCCACTCATAGGAGGTGCCTAGAGTCATCACATCCATAGAGACGGGAAGTAGATGGTGGGGGCCAGGGGCTGGGGAGTCTGTTTCCTGGGGACAGAGTTTCAGTTTGGGAAGATGAGAAAGTTCTGGAGATGGATGGTGGGGATGGTTGTCCAGCAATACATATGTACTTAATGCCACCAAGCTGTGCACTTAAAAATGGGTAAGATGGTAAGTTTTCTACACACAGAGAGGCAAGGAAGAACAGGGCTCGGCAAACATTTTCTGCAAAGGGCCAGATGGTAAATATTTTCGGCTCTGTGGGCCACACGGTTTGTTTCACAGTTACCCAGCTGTCCTCTTGGTGTCCTCCTAACACTGAGCAGCCACAGTGAATCAGTGAACAGATGGGCGTGGCCTGGTGCCAATAAAACTTTATTTGCCAATCAGGCGTGGGGCCGGCTCTGGCCTGCGGCCAGAAGCCTGCTGATCCCTGATGTGAAGGGCACCTCCATGTGGCTGTGTGTAGTACGTTCACGCCTGTTTGTGCACAGAGTAGCCCTGGAAGGCGCCGGGAACCATCATGTTTCCAGAAAGAGGAGAACCAGGTGACCAGGGGACAGAAGAGAAGGGAGAATATTAACTGTGTGGCCTTCGGTACTTTCTGGATTTTGCCCCTTTTAGACTTTTCACCTGTTTGCCAAATTCAAAACGACAACCAAAAGAGAACAAGGAAGCTTGAAATCTCTACCTGGGGCCCAGAGACAGTTCCCTAGGTGGGGTGAGCAGGTGGGGCGTGGAGACCCAGAGAGGAGGCAGAGACCAGGCGGAGGCCAGGCAGAGGCCGGCAGGCACTGACTCACCCGATCCTGACGTTGGCGTGCAGCTCCCGCACCGTCCGGGTCTCACGTTTCCGCAGGATCTCCGCGTCGTACCAGAAGCCGCGATCCTTGGGGTTGTCAGGGTTGTAGTTGACCATGACCATCTGGCCCACCTCCAGGTCCTGCCATTTGATGATGTGTCGGGCGCGAGCCCGGACGTTCCGTGAGTTCATCTGCACCACTCCGTTCTCCGGGTAGCTGGGGGAGGGGGGGAAAGCCCCACGCTCAGACCCCAGGTGCCAGGGGACCTCACTCCCTTGACGAGAGAGAGAAGCCAGGTGGAGAGGGCCGCCTGGTGTACGGGTTTGGGTTGTGCTCATCACAGCAGCCTGGAAAGCCCCCTCCCCATGATCTCATTTGCTGGTGTCAAAAACACACAGCTAGGGGGCTTCCCTGGTGGCGCAGGGGTTGAGAGTCCGCCTGCCGATGCAGGGGACACGGGTTCGTGCCCCGGTCCGGGAAGTTCCCACATGCCGCGGTGCGACTGGGCCCGTGAGCCACGGCCGCTGAGCCTGCGCGTCCGGAGCCTGTGCTCCGCAACAGGAGAGGCCACAACAGTGAGAGGCCCGCGTACCGCAAAAAAACAAACAAACAAAAACAAAAACACACAGCTATAGTGACACATTCCAATTACAGAAGGTGTTGTGGGTTGAACTACATCCTCTAAAAACCTATGTTATGATTCCAACCCCTGGCACCTTGGAGTGGGACCTAATTTGGAAATAGGGTCATTGCAGATATAAGGAGTTCAGATGACGTCATAATAGAGTGGCCCTAAACCTAGTGACTGATGTCCTTACAAGAAGAGAGGATGAGACACAGACAGAGGAGAACGACACAGGAAGAGGAGGCAGAGGCTGGCAGGATGTGGCCACAAGCCAAGGACTGCCGGTCCCACCAGAAGCTGGAAGAGGCAGCAAGGATTCTCCCCTTCAGGTTGCAGAAGATTCACAGCCTGTCGCCACCTTAGTTTTGGGCTTCTGGCCTCCAGGACTGTGAGAGAATAAACTGTCGGAGCAATGCTAGTGGTACTCTGTTACGGCAGCCGTAGGAAACTAAGACAGCAGGAAATGCGGGGAGGGAAGAACTTAACTTCTTCCACATACATGTGTTGGAAGTGATTTTTGTAAAGGGATATACATTATTTTGTTTATGTAAATACAACATACTAGAGATTAGATAATGATAGGAAGTCATTATTCTGCATATGCAGGAATATTCCTCAAAAAAGGCATAAAATAATTGAGCTAAAAGTAGCATATTCTATTAGCAACAAAGTTAAGCCTCAGCTGTGAGGGGGACAACCCCAAATCTACTGAGACTAGCTCTATAGCCTGGTACTCATTATTTTTCCTAATAAACCACCAAGTACAAGGGCTGCCCAGCTTTTCCTGTGAAGGACCAGATAGTCAATATTTTCAGCTTTGTCATCGGAAGGTGTCTGTTGTGAACATTCAACTTGGCTGCTATTACCACAAGAGCAGTCACAGGCAAGGTGTAAACGAATGGGTATTGGTGTGTTTCGATAAAGCTTTATTTACAACAACAGGCTGTGGGCCAGATCTGGTCTGAGAACTAGAGTTTGCAACCCCTGACCAAGAGGATGGGAATGTTGCAAAAACTGCAATTCACTCATCCAATTACTCCCATAATTCTTAGAGTTAAGCTAAGGATGTGCCAGAAACCGATGTAGACAGCAGGGACCCAGCAGAGAACCACAGAATGTGAGCTCCCTGTAGGCAGGCACGTTTGCCCTCTGTTAGGTACTGAACTGTATCCCCCAAATTCATACACTGAAGCCCTAACACTCAATGTGACTGTATTTGGAGACAGGGACTTTAGGGGGTGTCATCAAAGTTAAATGAGGTCAAAAAGGCAGGGCCCTAATCTAAGGGGATTGGTGTCCTTATCAGAGGAGGAAAAGACACCAGAGCTCACTCGTTTGCGCTCTCTCTCTCTCTCTCCATGCACACAGAGAAAAGGCCATGTGAGGATGCAGTGAGAAGACAGCCGTCTACAAGCCAGGAAGAGAGCCCTCACTGGAAACTAACCCTGACTGCACACTGATCTTGGGACTCTCAGCCTCCAGAACCGTGAGAAAATAAACATCTGGGCTTCCCTGGTGGCGGCAGCGGTTGGCAGTCTGCCTGCCGATGCAGGGGACGCGGGTTCGTGCCCCGGTCCGGGAAGATCCCACGTGCCGCGGAGCAGCTGGGTCCGTGAGCCATGGCCGCTGGGCCTGCGCATCCGGAGCCTGTGCTCCACAATGGGAGAGGCCACAACAGTGAGAGGCCCGCGTACCGCAAAAAATAATAATGATAAAACAATAGTAAACGTCTGAGGTTGAAGCCGCCCAGCCTGTGGCATGGTATGTTGTTACAGCTGCCAGAACCCACTCAGACACCCTCTGTGTTCACAGACAGGAATCCCCCATGGCTATCGCAGGGCCTGGCACACAGTGAG